ACTTAGGAATCGCCCGTAATCCCAACACTTTGGGAGGCTGAGGCGTGCAAATCACCTGAGGTCAAGAGTTCGAGACCAGCCTGGCCAACATGGCAAACCCCCGTCTCTACCAAAAATACAAAACTTAGCCGGGGGTGGTGGTGGGTGCCTGTAATCCCAGCTACTCGGGAGGCTGAGGTGGAAGAAACGCTTGAACCCGGGGGGGGCGGAGATTGCAGTGGCCGAGACTGTGCCACTGCACTCCAGCCTGGACAACAGAGCAAGACTAGGTCCCAAAAGAAAAGAAAAAAAAACATATAACTCACAAAAACTGTTCATAATTACAGTTTTTTTCTTTTTTTCTTTTGAGACGGTGTCTCGCTCTGTTGCCCAGGTTGGAGAGCAGTGGCATGATCTTGGCTCACTGCAACCTCCGCCTCCCGTGTTCAAGTGATTCTCCCGCCTCAGCCTTCCAAGTAGCTGGGATTAAAGGCGTCCGGCCCCATGCCCAGCTGACAGATAAGGTTTCACCATGTTGGCCAGGTTGATCTCAAACTCCTGACCTCAAGTGATCTGCCTGCCTCAGCCTCCCAGAGTGCTGGGATTACAGGCATGAGCCACCGCGCCCGGCCCATAGATACAGTTTTATGCTACAGATTGAAAAGGCACACCATGTTTAGAACAAAACCATAAATAATGGTCATTACAAAATAAATGCCATTAAATTTGCTGATATTCAACGAAAAGAATCAGGCAATGAGGCAAAAAGACTAAGGCCTTTGCAAGGGGTTAAAAAAAAAAAAAAACAGACTCTGTGCAGTAACATCCAGATCTAGAAGACACGGGAAAAACGACCCCTCAAGTAGTCATGGAAAGAATATAGAAACAATAAAACACTTAATCAGCCAGACTACTGCCTAAGTATAAATGGGAAATGATTCTCAGCATGTAAAATTTCAAAATATTGGTGCTTTAAGATATGCCCTTTTTGAAGAAAGTGATAGAAAATAAATTTCTTTCAACCAAGTAATGACTGAAAAGACAAGGGTCAGAGAACTGACAGAGTGAATGTATTTAGCAGAAAAATTAAGATATGACTTATATTTTTCTGGAAGTTTACTATTTTCTCTATACCTTGAACCAATTTCTTTATTGCTGGTTTATCTGGCCCTTTGAAGGTTTGGTAGAATTCTATGAAACCAAGGCTGGGTGTGGTGGCTCACAATTGTAATCCCAGCACTTTGGGAGGCCGAGGCAGGTGGATCGCTTGAGCCCAGGAGTTTGATACCAGCCTGGGCAACATAGGGAGACCCTGTCTCTACAAAACATTTTAAAATTTGCCAGGCATGGTGCATGGTGGCACGTGCCCGTAGTCGCAGCTTTGGGAGGCTGAGGTAGAAGGATCACTTGGGCCTAGGAGGTTGAGGCTGCAGTGAGCCGTGACTGAGCCACTGTTCTCCAACCTGGCTAGCAGAGCAAGACCTTGTCTCAAAAAAGAATTCTATGAAACCAGCTGGATCTGGTGCTTCTGTGAGAGATAGTGCTTAAAATTTTTTCTATTTCTTCTATGGAAATTGGTCTCTTGAAAAATTTCTATCTGCAGAATTCAAAAAAAGTTAGACATTAGGAATTTATTGTAATTGTAGATATAAAGAGAAAAATCATCTGATTAGGGTTTTTGTTTTCACTACTTGCAGTATATTGCTAGTGTTATATGAGTGAATGCTAAAAATGCATTCAACAAAATTCAATATCCAGTTTTTTATTAAAACATTCAACACAATGGAAAAGATACTTTGACAATATGATTAAAAATAAAAAGCCAAAAAATAAAAATAAAAAGCCTACCCCTAGTTTTCATCATACAGTTGGCCCTCAGTACCCATAGGTGCCACATCTATGGATTCAACCAAGCATGGACTGAAAATATTCAAGGGGGAAAACAATTTCCCCAAATTCCAAAAAGCAAAACTTGAATTAGCTGAGCACCAAGTGCTACACAGAATCCACATGAATGAAGTGATGTGTAGGCATCATAATAGGCACTCTAAGTAACCTGGAGATGATTAAATCATCTCCAGGTTACTTAGAGTGCCAGAGTACATGGGAGGAGGTGCGTAGGTTATATGCAAATACTATGCTACTTTATATGAAGGAACTTGAGCATCCTTGGATTTCAGCATCTGCAGGGGCTCCTGGAGCCAAGACCCCATAGATAGAGATGACTGTATATCCATTTATACCTTGTGAATTTCCTCATACCACCTGAATATATTAACTTTTATAAAGTTAAAATGAGCAACAACAAGTAGTCTATTTTATGTTGGGCGGTTCTGTCGCTTTGTACCTCAGGTAATACATTTATTAATAACTGCCACAAAGTAAAGTATCCCTTTTATTGAAGAGAGAACAAAGGATCAGGGGAATTGAAAACCTGCTTAATGTCATACAAGTAAATAATAGAGCTAATGGCTAAAGATAAGTTCCAGGCATTGCTGTTCATTTAAATATAATTTTCTTCAGAATTCTGTTCTAGGTTCTCTTCTCACTCTCTAGTACCCTTGGATAGACACCTGAAGGCTTTCATTGTGGCCCATGCATTGATCACTCCCAAACCCATTATCTCTAGCACAGACCCCTCTTCAACCACATACTGACAACAGCCACCTGGCTGTTCCACAGATAAACTCAGTATCCCAGAGTTCAATCTTTTCTAAAACCTGCTTTCCTTCCCTTGTTTTCCTTCTCATTTACTAGGACAGGTAAGGAGGAAACCAAAGAGGCATCTCCAGTTCCTCTTTCTTCCTCACCACTCTGCCCAGCTTCCAGCTGACAGGTCCCAGTGGTGCCTCCCTAGCTTCTAACGGCTCCTCTCTCCAACCTACTATCCTTGCTTTGATTCAGTGAATCCCTTCTTGTCTGCGCTATTGCCAAAGACTCCCTTCCCTCAATATAACCCATGGCAAGGATCAACTGCTCTCCCCAGCCTCCCTGTAATGTGACTTGGAGATCATGAGGAAAAACAGCATCATGTCATCCCTGATTGTGTCACTCACAAAAAGCCTTTAAGATCATCCCTCACCAACCAGACTTTATTCCTGTATGGCTCTGCAAATCTTTTTTGCTTCTTTTTTTTTAGAGACAGGATCTTGCTCTGTCGCCCAGGCTAGAGAGTAGTGGCACAATCATAGCTCATGTGGTCTCAAACTCCTGTGGTCATATGATCCTCCCACCTCAGCCTCCAAGTACCTAGGGCTAGAGGTACATGCCACCACGCTTATCTTTTTTTTTTTTTTTTTTTAATTTGTTGAAATGGGATACTGGTATGTTGCTGAGGCTGGTCTTGAACTCCTGGCCTCAAGTGATTCTCCCACCTTGGCCTCCAAGAGCACCAGGGTTATAGGCACGAGCCACTGCACCCAGCCTAAATCCTTTTTTTTTTTTTTTTTTTTTTTTTTTTGGTGGAGATGGGGTCTCGCTCTGTTGCCCCAGCTGGAATGCAGTGACACGATCACAGCTTGCTATAGACTCAACCTCCAGGGCTTAAGCGATCCTCCCACCTCAGCTTCCCGTGTAGCTGGGACTACAGGTACACACCACCATGCCTGGCTACTTTCTTATTTTTTATAGAGATGGGATCTCCCTATATTGCCCAGACTGGTCTCAAACTCCTGGACTCCAGTGATCCTCCTGCCTCAACCTCCCAAAGTGCTGAGATTACATGCACGAGCCACTATATCTTGCCATCACAACCTTAAAATGCCTAAAATCAAAGTATAAAACTCCTTTCCCAAAAATCCCACTCTCCTCCACCCTGTTAGGTGTATAGGCCAACTAGTACTGGCAAATAAATAATCCTGACTCCCCTCCTTCTCACACTCCCATACCCCCGCCCCCTGCTCCAGTGATTCTCAGAAATCTCCCTGACTCTATCCTTCAAAATCTACCCAGGGCCAGGCATGGTGGCTCATGCTGTAATCCCAGCACTTATGGAGACAGGAGGATCACTTGAGCTCAGGAGTTGGTGACCAATCTGGGCAACAAAGTGAGAACCTGTCTCTACAAGAAAATAAAAAAATTAGTTAGGCATGGTGGTGCACATCTGGAGTTCCAGCTACTTGGGAGGCTGAGGCAAGAGGATCACTTGAGGCTAAGAATTTAAGGCTGCAGTGAGCCATGATCATGCCACTGTACTCCAGCCTGGGTGACAGAGCGAGATCCTCCCTCCAAAAAATATAATCTATCCAGAATCTAACCATGTCTTTCTACATCCATCTTCATCTCTCCTACATGCTGGCTATACCCTTCTACCCAACCTCTGCTTCTAACTTGGCCTCTCCATAGCCTATTCTATCCAGCAACCAGGCTGAACCAAATGAAACTTCAGATCATTGCATTGCTCTGCTGAAAATTCTGCTAAGGCTTTCCATCATGCCCCAGCCGAGTCCATGTCCTTAGCGTGGCTCCTAAGGACCTATGTGATCTGGAGACCCTGCTACCTCCCCAAACCTAACTCTTGCCACCTTGGCCTCATCGGTGCTCCTTGTAAGTGGCAAACAGAATCCTGTCTCGGAGCCTTGCACTTACTAGTATTCCCACTGCCTAGAATACTCTTCTCTCAGATAACCACACAGCTCACTCATTTCATTGTATCTTTTCATTTTCTACTCAAATGTATTATCAACAAAGCTCTCTCCGACCACATTACATGAAACTCTAAGTCCCCTGCACCACCCACCCTGTCACTCCCAATCCCTTTTACCCTTATTTTTTCCAAAGCACTTTTCACCATCTAAAAACCTACATATTTATTGTGTCTCCAGCCCCTAAAAACAGAAGCTCTGTGTGGGCAGGAATTTCTTTGTTCACAGCTTTAGCCCCAGGATTTAGAACACTACATAGCTCATTAAAGAAAAAGTCACTCAATAAATATTCACTTAAATGAAGGAATGAAAGAAAAAAGAGTGGAGGAAGCGGAGGAGGAGGCAGGAAGGTTCAAACGTCATCCTCCCCATGTATACCTAAGTGCTGAGTCAGTAGCATGTGCCGCTGTCGTAGTGATGACTGGAGACTGAGCTCTGGTGGCTGAGACAGTTGCTACCACAGCAGGAGGGATGGCATTGGAGGTGGTCACAGGTGGCCGAGACTACCAAAAGAGAAAAAACAGTTCATTTAAAACAAAAATAAAATAAAATGTAGGAAGCCAAATACTAAATGTGTAATTTGAAACGAGCCTACAGATAAGTATGTTTCTGCCCAAATAAAAATAAATTCTCACCATTCCAATTAAGGAATTCTCTTTTCAGATAGGTTGTCATAAGACCAAGCGCCAGGCCAAGCGCGGTGGCTCACACCTGTAATCCCAGCACTTTGGGACAGTGAGGTGGGCGGGTGATCCCTTATTAAGACAACATTGACAAATGTTTTGGGAAAAAAAATCTCATTTTGATTGAACAGTACATGAGTCCCTCCCGTGCAAATGTGATTGGAATCAAAATTCTGCTCTACTACTGGTACCACTGGGACCTCACCCTTCAATCTAGAGTTGCCACAGGTCTGTGGTTGGTCCTGGTGTAGACATCTTATGCTGCCATCCAACCCAACACCTCCACAGAGGGCCTACTCAGGTGCTGAATAGAGCTGTTGGCTCTCAGGCCATCTACGTTAGCGAGTACAAGGGCAACTCAGAGTAACAGTCTTCTTTTCTAGGTAATGGTTCAGGGTGCCCACATGCTTGCTGAATGTTTTCACATGGACAGAGTGCCCTTATCACACTTATGTGTGAAATCTTCCTCTGAAAAATGAGCTCCACACTGGGCTTCATCCACGTATCCACCATTACTCTTCGAATCACCTGAGTTCTGATTCTTCCCTCGCTCTTAACCCTGAAACATGCATCTAAATGGCCGAGCTCTGCAGCCCTTTTACCTGCTGCTCCTACCAAGTGCAGGTGCGTGTCTTACACTAAGGCTACAGCACCAGCTTCCTCACTTGGGAGCTCCTTGTCTTGATTCTCATCTCCCTCTATCCCTTCATATGTATCACGTATACTACTAGATGCCTAATACTCCTCCGACTCTGTTTTCTTGACCAGAAAGGTCTTTTATCTTGAAAGCTGTAGGCTAGACAGATACTACCCAGTGTCATAATCAAGACTCTTCCTTATTATCTTAAACCCAGTTGTTTCATACATGTGTCTCTCCCCTGAAAGTGCTTACGGGGACAGACCTCCTGTATGTGATTCAGCTAGATTCAGCTTATCTTTCTTCTTTTTTGTGAGATGGAGTCTCACTCTGTCGCCCCAGATGGAGTGCAGTGGCATGATCTTGGCTCACTGCAACCTCTGCCTCTCGGACTCAAGCAATTCTCCCACCTCAGCCTCCCAGGTAGCCAGGATTACAGACGCGCACCGCCATGCCCAGCTAATTTTTTGACATTTTAGTAGAGACGGGGTTTCACCAGGTTGTCCAAGGTGGCTTCAAACTCCTGATCTCAGACAATCCGCCTGCCTTGGCCTCCCAAAATGCTGGGATTACAGGCATGAGCCACTGTGTCCAGCCTAATCTCATCTTTCAACAATATTACTTCAATGATACACAAAGCCACTGTGTTTAAAAAAAAAAAAAAGATTTTTGGCCGAGCACAGTGCCTCGCGCCTATAATCCCAGCACTTTGGGAGGCCAAGGCAGGCAGATCACTTGAGGCCAGGAGTTTGAGACCAGCCTGGCCCACAGGGTGAAACCCTGTCTCTACTAAAAGTATAAAAATTAGCCGGGCATGGTGGTACACACCTGTAGTCCCAAGCACTTGGGAGGCTAAGGCAGGAGAATCACTTGAACCCAGTAAGCAGAGGTTGCAGTGAGCTGGGATCATACCACTGCACTTCAGCCTGGGCAACAGAGTGAGACTCTGTCTCAAAAAAACAAAAACAAACAAAAAAACGCAGTGGCTCTCTACTGTATATAAAAAGTCTAGTTTATATTCCATATTCTAGAGCACCCAAATTATAGATACTATATTTCCTGCAAATATATTATACTTCAATAGTAATGAAGCCATAGATTTCCTTAAAAAAAAAATGCTGAATGGCATGGACCACGTTCTTGGAACAAACATACATATATGCATAACTTTTAGGAGTCCACAGATCCCCCCAATCCAAGTTAAAATCCCTCAATCCTAGCCAGCCTTTACTAACTGCCGTCTACAACCATCACTGCCTCCTTGCTGCTGTTCATCTCCCCCTTCACTTCCTCTTCACTTCTCTGATTCCTCATTAGCACAGCCTTTCCAACAGGAAGCCTTCCCACCACCTCTCCTTTGCGTTCTTACAGCTTGCCACATGATACTGTGCATCTTTCAAACTTCCCTACGTCTTGGCAACTCGATGGGAAGTCCCTGAGGTCAAGGATGTGCCTAGTGCCTGGTGGCGTGAATAACTCCCATGCCGCCCTTCATGCACCCCGGGCTCCGACGTGCCTGGATTGGTTGGTGAATGATGTGCTGCACTGCTGGCTGAGCAGTAGCAGCATTTGGCAGCTGCGAGGTCGGCCTCAGGACTGTGGTTACTTTAGAACTGGACATCACGGCAGCAGCAGCTGCACCTGAAAAACAAAAGTGTTTATTATATTTATTCTAGTTATACTCCCTAGGAAAATAATCAATATATTTCCTAAAACTCAGATAGTAAATCAGTAGGGAGCTGAAGTATGGTATGTATACTTCCCATTTCATCACAGAGAAAACAAAGAAAATGTGTATTCAAAAGATTTAATAATTTATATTGCCTCTTCACAGACAATCTTAAGTGAAGCTGCTGCTGCTTTTTGTTTCTGGTAACTGCAAGTGTGCACAGCGGTAAAGCACACAGTGAACAGCAGCGTGACGCCACCGCCTCAGCTCCGACGAGGGCTCGAGTACTTTGCCTTCCACTGTCTTTGTTCCATTAGAGCAGACGTCAACATTGCGAAAGGGACACATTATGAACCCTAACTTCAACCCTAACCCGAACCCTGCAGTTTTCACCCAGCAGACCCCCTGTGGGTCTGTGGACCACATTTGGAGAAACACTGAGTTATGCTATAACCAAGCAAACCTGGTCTTATGTGTGCTAACTTGATTTTGCCAACCATCTCCAACTGTTTCACACTCTCCAATAAAAGGTAAAATTTTCTAGTCAAAACTCATTTATTACCTCACAACCTACTAGAACTTAAGTGTAAAAATAAATTACTCTTAGCCAGTGTGGTGGCTCACATCTGTAGTCTCAGCCACTCAGGAGGCTAAAGCGGGAAGATCGCTTGTGCCCAAGAAGTTTGAGACCAGCCTGGGTAACACAGTGAGACCCCATCTCAAAAAATAACTATCATCATCATCTTATTGTTACGTAAGTTTAAAAACTCGGTAAAGATCATCTTTAACTTAAAAAATATTCAGTATTAGTATTTGTGACTTAGGTATTAAAAATGAAGACCATGTTGCAGATAAGCAGTCTAATAATAATAAAGACCATGTTGAGATTATCAAAGCTTGGGGAGTTCCTCAATATAAAGGACAATTTTAGACCATATTAAACATTTTAATTGCCTAAGTACACACACTGGTAATGCAACTATAATAAGCACATATTAAACCACGCTAAAAACATGGATTGCTCTAAGTTTATTTCCACTGTCTTGCAATTTTTTTTCCTTTTTCTTGAGACAGGGGAGGGCAGCGGCGCAATCGCAACTCATTTCAACCTCTGCCTCCCAGGCTCAAGCCATCCTTCCATCTCAGCCTCCTGATAGCTGGGACTGCAGACACTTGCCACCACACCTGGCTAATTTTTTGTATCTTTGCAGAGACAGGGTTTCGCCATGTTGCCCAGGCTGGTCTCGAACTCCCGGACTCAAGTGAACCTACCACCTCAGCCTCCCAAAGTGTTGGGTTTATAGACATGAACCACAGCACCTGGCCTTTTTTTCTTTTTAAATAAAAGAGGTTTACTTGGTTCACGATTCTGCAGACTGTTGTCCTGCAACTTTAACAAGCTGATTCTAGACACATTCTGTGTTACACATTTTAACAAATGTATATCTGCTACGGCATTTTGAGAGTTTGAACAAAACTTGCAAGTCGTTACCTCGAGGTAAATGAGAAGCTCCAATGTGAAGAGGGGGCCCAGGAGCATTGCTGCGGATGATAGACATCTGCACGTTTGTAGTCATGATGTGGTGCAGGTTACTGGGATGGCCCTGAGAGAAAGAGGATAGAACGTTATTTTCACAGGTTTGGTCTTAGCCATTGCCTCTAGGAAGTCACCTGCCTCCAAATGTGGGTCAGGTTTTTTCTTTTAGATAGTGAGTATCCCAAGGGAAAGGGCTAAGGACATTTAGCTTGAGCTACTTTTACATGCTGTACTGTATAATGAACTGTGCTAACAGGCATGTGAGAAGTATGAGGACCCCACAACTGCTGCAGGCCCAAATAATAACAGATAACATACTTTCAACAGATAACATACTTTGATATCTACTTTTAGAAACTCTCATCTGTGATATTACCTTTCACACTTGTTTTTTCTGTCCTGGCCAAATGCTTATTTTTTCCCATTCTCACAATTTCCTTTACATACCACTGCATCCATCCATTCTTTAAGCTTTGTGTTTCTAAGTAAATGTCAGTTAGCATCCAACAGGTGCTCCGCTACCAGTTCTTCAGCTCAACCCTGAAATGTCCCTTACTCACATTCTCCCAAACCACAGAGAACAGTGCTTCTCAGCTAAGGGTTCTGGTACTTCTGAGAGTACTCAGCAGTATGACAAAAGGAAAAAACACAGTACACCTCTTTGGAATATAAATTTTTCTTGAAAACGTGAAGGGAACGTTTTTAGATTTATTTTTTTTCCCCAGGTAAAAAATTTTAAATATTTAATTAATCAAGTACACAGCAGAATAGGATTGCAAAATTTCACAAAAAAAACCTTAAAACAGAAGACTTCAAAATAAATGTTCGCAACTAAGGCCAGGTGCAGTGGCTCATGCCTGTAACCCTAGCACTTTGGGAGGCCACAGCGGGCGGATCATTTGAGGTCAGGAGTTGGAGAGCAGCCTGGCCAACATGGTGAAACCCCGTCTCTATTAAAATAAAAAAACTAGCCAGGCGTGGTGACGCACGCTTGTAATCCCAGCCACTTGGGAGGCTGAGACAAGAGAATTGCTTGAACACGGGACATGGAGGTTGCAGTGAGCCAAGATCCCACCACTGCATTCCAGCCTGGGTGACAGCGTAAGACTTTGTCCCAAAAAAAAAAAAAAAAGTTTGCAACTAGAGAGCTGCTTGAGGTAACCTACCAGTACCCCAAAGATGCCCATCTGCTCTCCTCAGAGAAACCACAGAGAAGCACTGCCCACCACTACCCCTGGGAGGCTGTTCTTGACGCTAAAATCAAACACAAACCACACTCCGGACTCAAGGACACGGATTGTTTTATCCAGATTTATACATCACACTGAGGGTCAAATCGAGCAGCTAGTAGCTGCTCAATAAATTCTAGCTAAATGACTTCTGGCTTCTACTCCCTACAGTTATCCTTCTCTCTCAAACCTACTACCTTCCCTTGCAGGTTATGAGTGAGTGTTTAATCTTTTTTTATTACCATGCCTAATGTACTGCTAGCATTCAATAAATCATGATCAATAGTTTGGCATTTCAGTTGAAAATCAGCAAATTAAAAGGAAGAAAAACCTGTTGTCCACTGATTGTTGCCACAGGAATGGCTGAAGCTTGAGGGATGCTACTCTCCATGGTAACGGTAACCTGCCCTGGAACCTTGGGCGGAAGTGACAGGGTGGAAGGTGGAGCAGGAGCAATGGGACGGCTAGGCATGGTAGGCTTCGGGGGCGGCTGCAAACAGAAAACCACACAAAACATATCAATGGCCTCATACTGGTGATGCGTCTCAATCCAGAATTAAGAGTACACAAATCGAACCTGGAGAGTGCCAGGAAAGATGCCATAAGCTTTATACATTTTATCTATTAGCATCACAGTGTTTCCACTGAAGTACTAGCATTTCTATTTCACAGATAAAGAAACATACAAAGCAAGGCTAACTGACTTGCTCAAAGCCACACACACAGTAAGAAGAACTGGGAACAAAGCCCAGAGCTGTATGGCTCACAGCCCACACCCTTTCTTCTACATGATGCCGCCTCCCAAGTCTGGGTGGATTGAACAAAACTCCCAGTAACTGAAACAGAACCCCCAGGTAACGCACAGGCGATATTCTCAGAAACCCCCAAATTAACCAGTTGCTAAAACAGACCTTAAGGAAGAGTGCTACTCCAGTTGGTCCCATGATACTGGGTTATCAGAACTTACAACATCACTGTCAGCCGGGTGTGGTGGCTCACACCTGTAATCCCAGCACTCTGGGAAGCTAAGGCAGGCAGATCACTTGAGGCCAGGAGTTTGAGACCAGCCTAGCCAACATGGTGACACCCCGTCTCTACTAAAAATACAAAAATTAGCCAGGCGTGGTGGCGTGTGCCTGTAATCCCAGCTAGTTGGGAGGCTGAGGCGGGAGAACTGCTTGAACCTTGGAGGTGGAGGTTGCAGTGAGCCAAGATTGCACCACTGCACTCCAGCCTGGATGACAGAGAAAGACTCTGTCTCAAAAAGAAAAAAAAAAAAAAAAATTAGTGTCATTAAGCCCCCACTGCTAAAATCTGATTGGCTTAAAAAAAAAAAAAAAGAGGGTCCCTTATCTAACTTAACATGCCCATAGGTTGAATAATATCAGTATCAAAATGGATAACAGCAAAGATTCTGTGATGCCAATGGCCCAGCAGCACAAGACGAGGCACTGCAGAAAATCAGGGCTGAGTTACAGAGGTGCTGAACTCATAGGTCATAAAGGAAAAATGAAATACGATCCTAAGATACAGCCTAAGATTTTTTTTTTTTTTTTTTTTTTTTTTTTGGAGACGGAGTCTCTCTCTGTCGCCCAGGCTGGAGTGCAGTGGCCGGATCTCAGCTCACTGCAAGCTCCGCCTCCCGGGTTTACGCCATTCTCCTGCCTCAGCCTCCCGAGTAGCTGGCACTACAGGCGCCCGCCACCTCGCCCGGCTAGTTTTTTGTATTTCTTAATAGAGACGGGGTTTCACCGTGTTAGCCAGGATGGTCTCGATCTTCGTGATCCGCCCGTCTCGGCCTCCCAAAGTGCTGGGATTACAGGCTTGAGCCACCGCGCCCGGCCATACAGCCTAAGATTTTGTACAAATTGTTATAGAGATGAGCCAGTCTTGAGCTCTGGTTCAGTGTGAAGTTTTAACCCTCTCCATTACCTTCATAAGTCCCTCCGAAAATGAAAGTGGCACTGCTGGCGTCAGGTGTGCTGGCGGGGCTGTCACTGCAACAGGTGTGGCTGATGCGACAGCATGGTGTGTAGACAACATCTGCACCTGTGGATAGGGCCTTACCACGACAGGCTCTTGCTTCTCCTCCCGGGACTGGAGGGAGCTGCTGGAACTCATGTGCTCCCTGGCACCGACTTCAGAATCTCGACCAGATTCATCATTGACTAGTAAAGACATTAAACGTGAGACAGTATGTCACAGTCTCCCAATGTAAGATAGCGGCACAAACAAGAGCGGCACCTGAAGTTAAATCTCAGGATTGACCAAGTGGCCACTTCCTTGTGATGTTTTCTTAACAGGGTCAATTTGGGCACTGGATTCTCCTGATGGACATCAGACAGAAGAGCCACAACTGTGGAATGTAGAATTCATTCTGGATATTGTAGCCTTATGAATAAACTACCTGAAAATCATCTAAAATGAGCTGAAATAGTTAAAAGTACAATACAGAGTATAAGACAATTTCATTTAAAACATCTTCTTAAAAAGTTATAAAAGCCTGACATTAAAAAGATATTTTACGCTGTGCTGGCCAACATGGCAAAACCCTAACTCTACTAAAAATACAAAAATATAAAAAACAAAAAAAAAAAACCACAAAAAAACACCTTTTTTTGTAATCCCAGCTACTTGGGAGGCTAAGGTGGGAGGATCGCCTGAGCCCAAAACGCAGAGGTTGCAGTGAGCCAAGATTGCGTCACTGCACTCTAGCCTGGGCGAGAGAGGAAGACTGTCTCCAAAAAAAAACAAAACAAAAAATGTATGGCTGGTGCAGTGGCTCGCATCTGCAATCCTAGCATTTTGAGAGGCCAAGGCAAGCAGATCCTTTGAACCCAGGAGTTCAAGACCAGCCTTCGTAACACAGTAAGACTCCATCTCTGTAAAAAATATAAAAATTAAATGGGCATGGAGGCACGCACCCGTAATCCCAGCTATGCTGGAGGCAGAGAGAGGAGGATCACTTAACCCTGGGAGGTCAAGGCTGCAGTGAGTCAAGCCATGATTGTGCCACTGCACTCCAGCTTGGATGACACAGTGAGACTCTGTCTCAAAAAAAAAAAAAAAAAAAAGGTGGTGGCGGTCTGGGCACGGCAGCTCACGCCTGTAATCCTAGTACTTTGGAAAGCCAAGACGGGCGGATCATTTGAGGTCAGAAGTTCCAGACCAGTCTGACCAACATGGTGAAACCCCGTCTCTACTAAAAATACAAAAAAATGAGCTAGGCGTGGTGGTACACACCTATAATCTTAGCTACTCGGGAAGATGAGGCAGGAGAATCGCTTGAACCCAGGAGATGGGAGGTTGCAGTGAGCCAAGATTGCGCCACTGCACTCCAGCCTGGGTAACAGAGTGAGACTCCGTCTCACAAAAAAATTTAAAAAAAGATATTTTAAGTACAGTTCCTAAGTTTAAGAACATAGAGTTTTTCAAAACTTAAGGACAGAGATGGGAGACATATTTTCCACTGTATGCTCTTTTTCTTTTGGTGTTTTGGACTATCAGAAGACATAACATATTAAACTTTTTTTTTTTTTAATTTTTTTTCTTTTTTTTTTTTAAGACGGAGTCTCGCTCTGTCGCCCAGGCTGGAGTGCAGTGGCCGGATCTCAGCTCACTGCAAGCTCCGCCTCCCGGGTTCACGCCATTCTCCTGCCTCAGCCTCCCGAGTAGCTGGGACTACAGGTGCCCGCCACCTCGCCCGGCTAGTTTTTTTTGTATTTTTTTAGTAGAGATGGGGTTTCACCGTGTTAGCCAGGATGGTCTCCATCTCCTGACCTTGTGATCCGCCAGTCTCGGCCTCCCAAAGTGCTGGGATTACAGGCTTGAGCCATCACGCCCGGCCTTTTTTTTTAATTTTTAAAAAAAATTTTTTTGAGACAAGATCTCACTCTGTCTCCCAGGCTGGAACACAGTGGATATCAGCTCACTGTAGCTTCAAACTCCTGGACTCAAGTGATCTTCTGCCTCAGCTGCCCAAGCAGCTAGACTACAGGCACACGCCACCACCCCTGGCTAATTCTTTTATTTTTTTATGAAGACAGAGTTCCACTGTGCTGCCCAGTCTGGTCTTGAATACCTGGGATCAAGTGTTCCTCCCACCTCTGGCTTCCCAAAGTGCTGAGATTATAAGTGTGAGCCACCGCACCTGGCCTATTTAAAAATTAAATATTTAAAAATTAAGTGGAGGCCGGGCGTGGTGGCACACGCCTGTAATCCCAGTACTTTGGGAGGCCAAGGCGGGGAGATCATTTGAGGTCAGGAGTTCGAGATCAGCCTGGCCGACATGGTGAAACCCTGTCTCTACTAAAAATATAAAAAATAGCCAGGTGTGGTGGTGCACACCTGTAATCCCAGATACTCAGGAGGCCGAGGCCCGAGAATCGCTTGAGCCCGGGAGGCGGAGGTTGGGGATCCCGCCACCGCACTCCAGCCTGGAGAACAAGAGCAAGACTCTGCGTCAAAAAAAAAAATTAAGTGGAAAAAAATCAGAGAACTAATGTAATAAAAGAAGAGCTTGTGAAAATATTAACTCATATTTGTCTATAATTTTTCCAAAATATTAATATTCTTTTTTTCCTGAGCATAAAGATATTTACTGATGTAGAGAATGTAAATTATTTGGAGTACCATAAACAAAGTAAAGTTGTCCCCAAACTCACCCCACAAAGGCACCAACACTTAAAGTTCTGGTGACAGTTCTTGTCTCTTTTAAATTTTGGGTGGGTTTTTATTCATTTGACTTTTTTCCTTGAAGTATGATCTTCACAAAGGTAAGTGCACAAATGTTAGTTGTGCAGCTCAGTGGACTTTCATAAACTGAATACACCTAAGTAAATAGCACCCCGCTCAAGACAGAAAACATTATTGGTCTCCCCGAGACCCTTAGTTTGGCCCTATTCTAGCCACTATCCTCCCAAGGAAAGCAATCATCTACCTTGTAACACTATAGATTAGTATTGTCTGTTTTTGAACTTGATATAAACAGACTCATAACAAATACACCCTATTGTGCTTTGCCTCTTTAACTTACAGGTGTGAGATTCATCCACGTTAGTGTACACAGCTATAGCTCTTTCATTCTCAAGGCTGTATACAGTATGACGTGTGAGCAACGTACAAATTATCCATTTTACTCTTAAGAGGCACTTTACATAGTTTTCAGTTTTTTCCTATTTTGAATAGTGCTAGTAACGTTCCTGTACATGTCTTCTGGTAAACACATGTATCACTTCTACTCAATATATACCTAGCAGTGGAACGACTGAGTAGAGAATACTGCATTTTTTAAAGGTGAAATGGGGACAGGCACAATGGCTCCTGTCTATAATCCTAGCACTTTGGGAGGCCGAGGCAGGTGGATTACCTGAGGTCAGGAGTTCAAGACCATCATCCAACATGGTGAAACCCCGCCTCTACAAAATAAAAAAAATTAGCCGGGCATGATGGCGGTTGCCTGTAATCCCACCTACTCAGGAGGCTGAGGCGGAAGAATCGCTTGAACCCAGGAGGCAGAGGTTGTAGTGAGCCAAGATTGTGCACTCCAGCCTGGGCAACAGAGCAAGACTCCGTCTCAAAAAAAAAAAGGTGAAATGGGATTCTATTGTATAGATGTACTATAGCTTTTAAAATCACTGTATCATTGATGGGCTTTTAGGTTATTTCCAAATTTTTGCTTTTATCAACAATCTTGTCCAGAGATCTCTTCAGGAAAACGTTTCTAAAAGTACAAGTGCTGGATGAAAAGACTGATAAGGCTGGGCGCGGTGGCTCAAGCCTGTAATCCCAGCACTTTGGGAGGCCGAGGCGGGCAGATTGCAAGGTCAGGAGTTTGAGACCAGCCTGGCCAATATGGTGAAACCCTGTCTCTACTAAAAATATAAAAATTAGCTGGGTGTGGTGGTGGGCGCCTATAGTCCCAACTAATCGGGAGGCTGAGGCAGGAGAATTGCTTGAAACCGGGAGGTGGAGGTTGCAGTGAGCCGAGATGGCACCACTGCACTGCAGCCTGGGCGACACAGTGAGACTCCATCTCAAAAAAAAAAAAAGAGAGAGGAAAGAAAAGACTGATATACATTTTCTTTTTCGCTATATATTGACTTTTCTCCCAGGTCATTCAGAATTTTAAAAATTTTCATCTATAAAACCTCTTCATTGGGGAATAAATTACATAGAATAACACCACCGTTTTACAAGAAAAGTTCAATAATTTTTTTACAAATATCTTCAGTAACACCAAAGAGGAGAATGGTTGGGTCAAATGGTAAGTATATGTTTAACTTTCCCAAAGTAATTTCCAAAGCGATTGTAGCACTGTCTGTTCCCATTAGCAGTATACGAGAGTTCCAGCCGCTCCTCTTCCTTACTCACGTTTGATATACAGCCATTCTAGTGGGTTGTAGTGTGTGTCTCCCTGTAGTTTTAATTAGCATTCCCATGACGACTAGTAATGTTGAACATCTTTTTATGTGATCACAGCCCATTCATATATATCTTCTTTAGTGAAGTGCATGTTTATCTTTTGTCCACTTTAATCAATTAGCTTTACTGAGGTACAATTTACACATAAAATTCACTAATTCTTTGTGTAACATTAGATAAATGTTTGCAAAAGTATACAATGGTATAACACAATCATGACACAGATCATTTCCTGTTACTGCAATAAGTTCATTCATACCCCTTTGTAGTCAATTCCCTCTCTGCCACCTCTATTGCCCAGAAGCCACTGATCTGCTTTCTGTCACTATGGTATATAATCTTTTCCGGAATTTCATATAACACAGTCATACCATCTGGAGTCCTATGTATCTGGACTCTCTCCTTAGTGTAACGTTACTGAGGTTTATCCATAATGTTGTGTGTGTCGGTAGTCTGGTCCTTTTTATTGCCAAGTAGTATTCCACTGCATGGATGGATACACAACAATTTGCTCATCCAGTCACCATCTGATACACATTTGGTGAGATCCCTGTTTTGGCTATTATGAATACAGTTTCTATGAACACGTGAGTATAAGTCCTTGTACGAACACACGTTTTCATTTACCTTTGATAAACACCTATGGAATGAGATTGCTCAGTGCTGTGGTAAGTGTATATTTAACTGCATAAGACATTGCCAAACTGTTTCTGGAAGTGGTTTGCCATTTTGCATTTCCAACAATAAAGCGTGAGTTCCATTTGTGCCACAACCATACCAACGCTTGGTATTGTCAGTCTCTGTAATTTCGGTCTTTCTAATGGATGTGCAGTAGTTTCTCAGCAGTTTTAAATTGCACTGCCCGGAGGATTAATAATGGTGAGCATCTTCTCATGTGCTTCTTTGGCACTTATCTAGCTCTTCTGGTGAAGTATCTACTCAAATACTTTCCCATTTAAAAAAAATCAGGTTGTCTGTCTTTCACTACTGAGTTATGAGTTCTTGTTTTTTTTTTTTTTCCTGAAGATAGGATCTCACTCTGTCACCCAGGCTGGGGTGCAGTAGTAAGATCTCAGGTCACTGCAACCTCTGCTTCCCAGGCTCAAGAGATCCTCCCGCCTCAGCCTGTCAAGAAGCTGGGACCACAGGCATGAGCCACCATACCCGGCTATTTTTTTTTTTTTTTTGAGACGGAGTCTTGCTCTTGTTGCCCAGGCTGAAGTGCAGTGGCACGATCTTGACTCACTACAACCTCTGCCTCCCAGGTTCAAGTGATTGTCCTGCCTCAGCCTCCCAAGTAGCTGGAATTACAGGCACCCACCACCACGCCCAGCTAATTTTTATATTTTTAGTAGAGACAGGTTTCACCATGTTGGCCAAGCTGGTCTTGAACTCCTGGCCTCAGGTGATCTACCCATCTTAGCCTCCCAAAGTGCTGGGATTACAGGCATGAGCCACTGTAAAATTAGCCTGGCCCCGGCTAATTTTTGTATTTTTTGTAGAAATGGGGATTTGCCATGTTGCCCAGGCTTATCTCAAACTCCTGAGCTCAAAGCGATCCACCTGCCTCGGACTTCCATGTTGCTGGGATAACATGCATGAGCCACTGTGCCTGGCCTTTATCCTCCCATAATGTTGTTGTGATCTTCCAGCACTATTTCACTGAAAAGACTTATAGGGCACGGTGGCTCATGCCTGAAATCCCAGCACTTTGGGAGGCCAAGGTGGGTGGATCACAAGGTCAGGAGATCGAGACCATCCTGGCTAACACGGTGAAACCCCGTCTCTACTAATAATACAAAAAATTAGCTGGGCATGGTGGCGGGCGCCTGTAGTCCCAGCTACTTGGGAGGCTGAGGCAGGAGAATGGCGTGAACCCGGGAAGCGGAGCTTGCAGTGAGCTGAGATCGCGCCACTGCACTCCAGCCTGGGTGACAGAGCGAGACCTTGTATCAAAAAAAAAAAAGAAAAGACTATCATTTCCCTATTGAATTACTTAGGCACTTGTATCAGAAATCAATTGGCTATATATGTCTGGTTCTATTTCTAGATCCTCCACCTGAGTTGTTACAGAAGATAAAGTCTCTGTTATGCTACAGAATAATAATAATTTTCTTCTAGAGAAAATAACATTTAAGTTGAAACTTGAAAAAGGAAGGAATTAGGCCGGGCGCGGTGGCTCAAGCCTGTAATCCCAGCACTTTGGGAGGCCGAGACGAGTGGATCACGAGGTCAGGAGATCGAGACCATCCTGGCTAACCTGGTGAAACCTCGTCTGTACTTAAAAAAATACAAAAAACTGGCCGGGCGAGGTGGCGGGCGCCTGTAGTCCCAGCTACTCGGGAGGCTGAGGCAGGAGAATGGCGTGAACCCGGGAGGCGGAGCTTGCAGTGAGCTGAGATCCGGCCATTGCACTCCAGCCTGGGCGACAGAGCGAGACTCCGTCTCAAAAAAAAAAAAAAAAAAAAAAAAAGAAAAAGGAAGGAATTAGCCAAATAAGCAACTATATGGAAAGGAAGAAGGAAGACTATGGCAAAAGGAAGAGAATGTGCAAAGTCCCAACGTCATGAAATTGGGAACTTTTTAATCATTTATTTAGAAATATGAGTAGATACCATTGAGCAGGAGTCATAAAGTAGCTTAAAGTCACTTCAAGTCTAAAGAGAAAATAAATTTATAACAAAAACTAAGTTGGCGGCCACGCAAGTAGCTCACACCTATAATTCCAGAGAGGCCTAGGCGGGAGGATTCCTTGAGGCCAGGAGTTTGAGACAAGCCTGGTCAACATAGCAAGACTCCAACTCCATTGGGAAAAAAAAAAAAAAACTAAGTTGGCAGGAGGAGGGCAAAATAAGAAATAAGGCTGGAACATTAGACAAGGGCAGCAGCTCATAAGAAAATGCAGAGCAATTAAAGATGCCGCCAGCCCTGCACAGTGACTCACACCCGTGATCCTAACACTTTGGGAGGCTGACAGTGGAGGATTACTTGAGTCCAGGAGTTTGAGACCAGCTTGGGCAACACTGTGAGATCCCCTCTTTACAAAAAAATTTAAAATTAGCTGAACATGTGGCTGGGCGCGGTGGCTCATGCCTGTAATCCCAGCACTTTGGGAGGCCAAGGAAGGTGGATCACTTGAGGTCTGGAGTTCGAGATCAGCCTGGTTAACATGGTGAAACCCTGTCTCTACTAAAAATACAAAAAAGAAAAAAAAAAAATTACCCAGGGATGGTGGCGCACGCCTGTAATCCCAGCTACTCAGAGGCTGAGGCACAAGAATCGCTAAAACCCAGGAGGCAGAGACCGAAGGGACCTGAGATAGAGCCAGTGCACTCTAACCTGGGCCAAAGAGTGACACTCTGTCTCAAAAAAATAAAATAAAACAAAATAAAGTAAAATAAAATAAAATAAGCTGGGGAGCTCAAAAGATCGAGGCTGCAGTGGGCTGTGATTAGGCCACTGTACTCCCGCTTGAATGACAGCATGAGATGCTGTTGCAAAAAAATAAGCCTCAGCTACTGGTTTAAGCAATGAGTAGACAGTGGTATCATTTACCATAAGGAACACCAGAATCGAGTGGTGAAGAAAAAGGAATAGAAAATAGTTTATTCATGGCCGGGCGCGGTGGCTCAAGCCTGTAATCCCAGCACTTTGGGAGGCCGAGGCGGGTGGATCACGAGGTCAGGAGATCGAGACTATCCTGGCTAACATGGTGAAACTCCGTCTCTACTAAAAATACAAAAAACTAGCCGGGCGTGGTGGCGGGCGCCTGTAGTCTCAGCTATTTGGGAGGCTGAGGCGGGAGAATGGCGTGAACCCGGGAGGCGGAGCTTGCAGTGAGCCGAGATCACGCCACTGCACTCCAGCCTGGGAGACACAGCGAGACTCCGTCTCAAAAAAAAAAAAAAAAAAAAAAAAAAAGAAAATAGTTTATTCCACTTTGCAATGTCACATATTTACTTAATACGTAGCGAAAAAGAGTATTTGAAGGAATTCCTCAACTTCAGCGCTGCTGACTAGACTGGATACTTCTCTGTTGTGGGGGCTTCCCGTTATCTTGTAGGATGTGAAGCAGTATCCCTGGCCTCTACCTACCAGATGCCAATAGCACTGTTGAGTTGTGACAACCAAACTGTCTTTAGATATTGCCAAGTATTCCCCTGCAGGAAAAACCACCTCCCCAAACACCTGTCACTGAGAACCACTGATTTCTAGCACTCAAAGGGCATGAGACGAAAAACCAAGTCTTATCTGTGTGTATGCAATCAGCCCTCTGTATCCATGGGTTCCCTGATGTGAATTCAAACAACTTTGGATGTTAAATATTCAGGGGGAAAAATAAAATATGGTTGCATCTGTACTAAGCACATACAGACTTTTTTGTCTTCTCACTGTTCTCTTAGCAATACGGAATAACAACTATTTACATACTATTTACTTTGTAGTAGGCATTACAAGTAATCTACAGCTGATTTAAAGTATACTGGAGGATAGATACAGGTAATATGTAAACACTATACCATTTTACATCACAAAGTGGAGCAACATGGATTTTGGTATCTGAGGTGGGTCCTGGAACCAATCCCCCACAGACACCATAGGGAAACTGCATATCCTTTGTTTTCCACTTATTTTCCTTGATAATAAACTCCTAAAAGGCAAGATCTGTTCCTTAAACAACTCTGGGCTCCCTCACAGCACTAATGCTATACTCTTGGACATTAATTAAACATGAATATATTAATGCATTTCAAAAATAGTTCTTACAGGCATGCTTCGCTGTAAGTTGCATGTGTACTCTATGTGAACGACGTGGTTAAAACAGGAAGAAAAAAAGCCTTGTTTAAATTAGAATAGTAATATACCCTTTCTTCAAATTCAAGAAATAAGAATTTACTAAAATCCTAGAAGGAATCTGCTAATTTTTAAGTTAGAAAACTGGCAATATTCGTAAAGTTGGAAGAAATATATTAGAATATTACATATCTCACCTGTAGCAGCTGGGTTTATCAATCCAGCAGTACCACTGTTTGCAATCTGAGAAGGGGCCTGGCTCAGCCCAGTAGAAGGGGCTCCTAATCGAGGAAACTGTTGAGAACTCATTTCCACCTGCAGTACATACAGTTATATGGTTATTACTAGATTCTGAGATCTGAATCAATATTGAGAAATTAAAGCATCTTTAGTACATATGAGATAGTCCCTCGGAAAAGCAAATGTTGCATCATCTATTTAAAAACAATAACGTAGGATCAATATAAATGCAGACATTATCTAAACTACCTAAGTTTTCTACCAATATCGTTTATACGGAGCTGGCGTGTACTATAACCCTCCATAAATACTTGTGGATTGCCATGCTGAAAAAATCACCATTGAATCCTGTACAAGAGTCACATGACAGGTATTACCACAATGCATGTGTATTTCTCTGTGTAAAGTTTTATGGAAAATGGCATGTCTCTTCGAAACACTCAAACCTCACACCAAGGTGAACAGAACTGTGATTAGCATGTCATAGGAACATTCGGAGGAAGATACCCAGCCCTAAGAAAGGATCGGATGTTTTACATTCAGACCTGATGCAAAAGGAATTCTCCAACGCTTTTCTGCAAAGGCTTCCATTTACGGATTTCCTTTTCTTTCCCTTTCATAGACCCCCCACAGAGCCAGAGGACCCTACACCTTCTCCATCTTCCCTAAAATCGTCCCCCACTTTTCCCCCAGGAGCCAAGCGATCTCCCCTGATTCGCCCGCAACCCCACCCCACCGCGAAGCCCCCGCTGAGATGGGAGGACGCCGATTTCCAGACACCTCGGAGTGCGAGATCCCCGTCTCCGGGGTAGGGGTGCGGACGGGCGTTCTGGGGACCCGACCACAAGGCGAGCACTGTGCCTCTTTACCTGTAGCCGCCGCCCGCCGCCCGCACCGCCCGCTTCTAGCTCGCCGGCCTGGGGGTGCCGCGGAGGGCCCATCTCGGCGGCGGCGATGCGCTCGGGGGGCGCGGGGAGGGATCGCGGCGGCGGCGCCCGGGGCCCGCCGCTGTCCAGCCCCGCTGGCCCCACTCACCCCCAACACCCGGCCGCCGCTGTGCTCGCAGTCCTCTTCCCCCGAACCTGCCCCTGCCTCCCCCGCCCGCCCATTGGCCCCACGCCCGGCGCGTCAGTGGAGGCCCAGGACCAATCCACAGCGACCTACACGGTCAGGACCCGCCCCACCCTCCCGCCGACCGCCAGCCAATCAGGCGCGAGCCTGGCCGGGGCAGCCCAAACCCCTCGAGGCTGAACCAATGGCAGAGGAAGACAGGCGCCCCCGGCGAGGGGGGCGGGGAGCGGGGAGGCCCCGCCTCGGCCAGGGTCTGAAAGCGGCGGGCGCAGGGCCCGGATGTGGAGAGTCACTTTAAACTGCTCCAGGAGCCAAACTCCCTGGGCCGCCCGCCCGCCCGCGCTCCCCCGACCGCTCTGCTTCCCCGCCAAGGCCCACGTCCGCCACGCCCCCACGCCCGGGTCAGCCCACCCCTCCCGGTGCCTCTCCCTTCCTCGCCACAGGACACCCAGCCCCTGTCGCCGGCCCAACTGCCGTGCCCAGCTCGCCAAAGAGCCGCGGTCCGAGCTGCAGGAGACGAGGATCCTCTGCCCTTCCCCGGGGACGCGCAACGGGACGGACGCTGCAGCCCGGCTCGGCCGCCCCGCCCCCTCGTCTCCTCCCCTTCCCTCCCGGGCTCCCGTCCCGCCATTACCTGGGTGCTGCGCCGAGTGGCCGCCGCGCCGCCTTGAGCTCGCTCCCGCGCGCTCTCTGTCTGCGGGGCCGACGTCCCCAGGTTCCCGACCCGCAGCCACCGCCGGGGAGCTAGCACTCTGCCCCCCACCCCTCACTCCAGCGCCGCTGCTTCCGCCGCCGTAACGAGCCTCCCGTCTATTGGCTGGCGCAGGCCCCGCCCCCTGCCGAGTCAGCCAGTCGCCGGTGGTCGTGAGCGGGAGAGCGAACGGGCCCGCCCCTCGGAGCCGCGGCGTCCTCTGGGAAATGTAGTCGCGGGAGCCAAGAGGGCGGGCCGCGAAGGAGGTGGAGAGCGCCGGGGCGGGGCCGCAGGCGACCCGGCCAGGGCAACACACCCCTTTGCTGTCTGAAGTCGGTTCTGTCTTTTCTCTTGGCTAAGTGAGAAGACAGTGGATCCCACCCTGTGTCTCAACCTGAGGGCACTAGGTTTCATTTTCCCCGCGGGGAGGCGCGGCGCGGGAAAGGGTAATGGAGGCCAACTGCGGCGGCCAAGGGATCCGCGGGCCGGACCAGTGTCGTGACGGTGCCCGCCTCCCTACGCCGCGAGTGGGACTCGGTGTCCCCACCGGGGACCGCGGTCGGCACAGCCTACGCGCGGCGGGAGCCGCCAGGCGCGGCGCGGGCGCGGCTCTGTGAAAGCAGGCCGGCAGGATGCAGGACTCCGGGCGGCCGGGGCGCACCTGCGCGCACTTTCCAGATTATGAAGGCGCTGAAGGGGGCAGTTTTATTTTGTCATTTTGTTTGGGGTTCAGGGTTGGAGTTTATGCGCCTGTAGAAGACATAGCCATATCTTTTGAGGCCACATTTGCATAAGAGATTAAGTCTCCCTCTTCCCTTACCAGATGGTAGTTTAGGCCTGGAGTTTTGTGATTAGTTAGGAAATAAATGGGGCTCAACCCCCTCTCTTGCTGTCATGCACAGCTGTGTAAGACAACTGTTTGGTTAGAAGAGAGTAGCTCCTGGCTATAGCCCAGGGATGAGTCTCAGATACTCCTCCTTTTCTTTCTTTTTTTTTTTTTTTGAGACGGAGTCCCGCTGTGTCGCCCAGGGTGGAGTGCAGTGGCCGGATCTCAGCTCACTGCAAGCTCCGCCTCCCGGGTTACGCCATTCTCCTGCCTCAGCCTCCCGAGTAGCCGGGACTACAGGCGCCTGCCACCTCGCCCGGCTAGTTTTTTGTATTTTTTAGTAGAGACGGGGTTTCACCGTGTTAGCCAGGATGGTCTCGAACTCCTGACCTCGTGATCCGCCCGTCTCGGCCTCCCAAAGTGCTGGGATTATAGGCTTGAGCCACCGCGCCCGGCCAAGATACTCCTCCTTTTCAAGCCACTTTCCTTTTCCACCTTCTTCCCTTCATTCTCAAACTTCTAAAGAGTGACTGCTGTGATCAGCCTCCTGTCTGCCTAGGCAGTCCTTATCCCTTTTGGAGTTGCCGCTCTTCTCAGACTGCTCCCCAAAAGTTGCCAACACCTACTCAACTTCAAACTCATCGGTCCTCGCTTAGAGCTCATCTCGTTTAGCTTACTGACCAGCAGTAACTCCTCCTCGTGTCTTCCCTTGGACTCTAGAACCAGGGTGTCTCCTGCTTCTACTCCTATCTCAAGCTCCGTTATACCTCCTCTTTCTCATGAATACAGCATTCTTCAGGGCTCCAACACTCAAATGCTATACTGCCTTCCTAAATGGTTTAATGTGTTTCCACAGTTTCAAATGTCTTCCTTTTTGTTTTTTGTGTTTTTTTGAGACAAGGTCTCAGTTCAGCCAAAGCTGAAGTCCAGTGGCGTGATCATAGCTCATTGCAGCCTCAACTTCCTGGCCTCAGCGAACCTATTGCCTCAGCCTCCTGAGTAGCCGGGACTGCAGGCACATGCCACCACACCCTGCTAGTTAAACATATATATATCCATATCTATATCTATATATCTATATCTATATCTATATATGGATATATATATGCCGGGCATGTGGCTCACGCCTGTAATCTCAGCACTTTGGGAGGCCGAGGCAGGTGGATCACCTGAGGTCGGGAGTTTGAGACCAGCCTGACCAGCATGCAGAAACCCCGTCTCTACTAAAAATACAAAATTAGCTGGCCATGGTGGCACATACCTGTAATCCCAGCTACTCGGGAGGCTGAGACAGGAAAACCGCTTGAACCTGGGAGGTGGAGGTGGCTGTGAGCTCAGATTGGGCAACAAGAGCGAAACTCTGTCTCAAAAAATATATATTTATATATATGAATATATTTATATATAAATGATATATATGTCATTTATATATAAATATATTTTTATATATCATATATAAATTTATATATAAATATATATAAATATATATATAAATATATGTATATAAATGATATATATAAATATATATATAAATATATATAAATGATATATATAAATATATATATAAATTTATATATAAATGATATATATAAATATATATAAATTTATATATAAATGATATATATAAATATATATCATTTATATATAAATGATATATAAATATATATAAATTTATATATAAATGATATATATAAATATATATAAATTTATATATAAATGATATATAAAAATATATATAAATTTATATATAAATGATATATAAATATATATAAATTTATATATAAATGATATGTATAAATTTCTATATGAAATATAGAAATATATTCATATATAAAAATATATATGTTTTTGAGATGGAGTTGTGTGTGTGTCTGTGTGTATATATAAGTGTACATACACGTGTGTGGTGTGTGTGTGTGTATATATATATGTATTTTTTTTTTTTGTAGAGACAGGGTTCCACCATATGCCCAGACTGGTCTGGAACTCCTGAGCTTAAGTGATTTGCCCACCTTGGCCTCCCAACGTGCTGGCATTATAGGCATGAGCCACTATACCCAGCCTCAAATATCTTTGAAAATGTTACCTGTGCGTAGGTGACCACTCTGAGTTGTATACCTGTATTTCCACCTCATGGGCCAATCCACACAGAAGTCTTACAAGCCCCTCAAAGTTAATGTATTGAACACCGTTATTGATTTGCCTCACCTATGTACTCCCCTTGATACCTGGGTTTACTTACTGGCATCACCATCCTTTCTGTCTTTGGCTTCGTATATGTTGTTTCACACTCTTCCATCTCCCACAGCTGCCATGTTACATTGATATGCACCTCTGCCTCCTTTCCTATTGTTTCCATAGCTGTGGCTCAAGTTGTCACTATTTCTTATCTGAATTGCAGCACTGCTGCTGCCCCCACTGAAATCTCTTCCTACACCCAATATGTCCTCCAGAATTCTTTTTCTAAATCACTAATCTGGATCTATCCTTCCCATCCACAATGCTTCCATATCTTCAGAATATATTCCAAATCCCTATGCCCAGTATCCAAAGGCCTTAATAATTTTGTCTTTCCTACCTCTCCAAAAACTGGATACTCTGCCAACAACAGTTTCTACTACTTATCTGCGCAGTTTGGCTTCCAACATTTTGCTCTGGCCTGAAGTGCCTTCTAATAGGCTAGGATGCTCAGCAATCATCTAGAAGAGTTCTGCCAATTCTATAATGCTTAACCGGAAAGAAAATTGTTTCCCTTCTGCAAGAAGCCTTCCTCCAATTCCTCTCCTTTCTCCACCCTTTAGAATACTTCCATAGAACTTCCTCAGTACCTCTCTTACAGCACTGATCTGTGTCTGCCCATATTCCTCCTGGAGTAGGCGGAGAGAGAAATTATTTGTCTTTATATCTCCTGTCAACAGGGTTTTAGATCCAGGAAGCATTCAATAAATGTTTGCTAAATATAATCACAAATACATCGGTGCTACTACATGATTGAAATCGGAATTTTCCTGAGTTACTTGGGACAGTAGCTACGGCTTTATTCATCCATGTCTCTAGTCTCACACACAGTGGACACTTAAAGGAAAACAGGTGCTTCACCCACCTTTTATCACTAGGGTTTAGAATTCCCATCAATTGAGCTTGTTGTGCAGAAAACACACGTTGTGCCCCAGCCAGACTGAACCTTCCACACTCCTCAAGTATTGAAGCTCTACGCCAGTTTCAGGAGCTTATTAGTATTTGAATATGGTTCTTGAAAATTGGCCAAGTGTGGTGGCTCACACCTGTAGTCCCAGCACTTCGGGAGGCTGAGGCGGACGAATCACTTGAGGTCAGGAGTTCGAGACCAGCCTGTCTGACATGGTGAAACCCCATCTCTACTAAAAGTACAAAAATTAGCTGGCTGTGGTGGTACATGCCTGTAATACCAGCTACGTGGGAGGCTGAGGCAGGAGAATCATTTGAACTCGGGAGGTGGAGGTTGCAGTGAACCAAGATTGCACTAGTACACTCCAGCCTGGGCGACAGATCAAGACTCAGTCTCAAAAAATAAACATAAAAAAAACTGTTGTCCACCGATGATCTTTTGAACAGATTAAGCAAAGATACCATAGGCATCATATCTGCTCAGTGATTTTCTAGAGA